AAGGCTCCTGATATATTGTTACAATATCAGTTGAAAAATATTAAAAATACATAGGCACAATTTTTTTTTATAAGCATTTTAACATCGAATTTTGACAGAATTTTTCAAAATCTCGAAAATTATTAATCATTGTAATTAATAAATTATAAAATGTTCAGTTTTTATAGCTAAGGATTGAAAATTTAAAACAAGATTCCACGTAAGTAGTTAATTCTCTTACCGAAAAATCTAAAAAATATACAATCACAGTTTATTTTTATAGTCATTTTATGTTCAAATTTGGACGAAATTACATATTAAAAAACCTAGTTATTTTGTTGTGATTATAATATAATATTATTCGTGGGTACCTACTTGAAACTTCTAAAGTGTACTATTATATATATATATATGATAGTATCAGGGTTTGTTGTTAATGTATAACGTGTTATAAGTACCTAATGGATATTGTGATAATGTGATATGATTAATTTGGAATTTATTATAGGTCAATTTTTTTTTAATACCATAGATATGTATATAATTTGTGTTAACCTAGACTGACATACCGTCTTCGCTCAGAATCGTTTTTCTTATACAATGATATTGTATCATTGAATTCAAATTTAATAGCATCAATTATACAGTGACCCACTTGTAACCTACTGTACAGCAGAGCGACATCCACTTACCCACCTTTTTTTATTTAGTTTTGTGTCTGTGTACACGATAAGTAGTCGAAATAATGCTTCGATTTTCGACTTCAGTATCTTGTTCGATTGGAAAGTGAATATCGTTGGTGCATTGGGGAGGTCAAAATTTAAAATACCCAGTACTTTTCAAAAGCGCCAAGAAAAACAAAAGAAAAATTAATGAAAAACGGGAATTTTTACGCAAAATCGATTTTTCAGAAAATTGAATTTGGTTTTTATTGTAACTTTAAAACATATGACCGTAGATACATGAAATTTTCACTGGTTGTTTATATTTGCATTTTCTATACACAATAAAATTTTCAAAATATTTTGATTTATTTTAAACTGTTTAGGGACATTTTCATTTTTCATTTTTTTTTTAGTTTTTTTTCTAGAAATATCAATAAAATTTTATTTGTTGGTTAAAAAAACTTGAAAATTTAATAGAAGGCTCCTAGTATATTGTTTCAAAGGCAGATGAAAAATATTAATAATCGTTAGTCACAGTTTTTTTTTATAAGCATTTAAAGTTCAAAAATATGGAAAAATCACGAAAATTAGCAAATTATTTTGCTTTAAGAATTCGTAAAAATTTTTCTTTTTAAATCTAAGATTTGAAAATGTAATACAAGATTACTCATAAGTTTGTGTACCTTTATCAATCAAAAAATCTCTACCGGACAGTCAAATTAAATTTTTATGAGCGTTTGAAATTCAAATTTTTACAACATTGGATGTTCACTCGATTTCTCATGTAGCGATTTTCTTATTTTGTTGTTATTCATAAACGAATAAATATAGATACATGAAAATTTCACTGAATTTTTATATTAGCATTTCCTATACACCATACAATTTTGAAAATATTTTGACTCTTTTTGAGCTGTTTACGGATATTTACAGCTTTCAATTTTTTCATTTTTCAATTTTTTTTGTTTTTTTTTCTATGAATATCAATAAAGTTTTATCTGTTGGGCCAAAATGTGTAAAAATTTATTACAAGGCTCCTGATATATTGTTACAATATCAGTTGAAAAATATTAAAAATACATAGGCACAATTCTTTTTTATAAGCATTTAAACATCGAATTTTGACAGAATTTTTCAAAATCTCGAAAATTATTAATCATCGTAATTAATAAATTATAAAATGTTCAGTTTTTATAGCTAAGGATTGAAAATTTAAAACAAGATTCTACGTAAGTAGTTAATTCTCTTACCGAAAAATCTAAAAAATATACAATCACAGTTTATTTTTATAATCATTTTATGTTCAAATTTGGACGAAATTACATATTAAAAAACCTAGTTATTTTGTTGTGATTATATAATATTATTCGTGGGTACCTACTTGAAACTTCTAAAGTGTACGAGTACTATTATATATCTATGATAGTATCAGGGTTTGTTATTGATGTTGATGTATAACGTGTTATAAGTACCTACTTAATGGATATTGTGATAATGATTAATTTGGAATTTATTATAGGTCAATTTTTTTTTTAATACCATAGATATGTATATAATTTGTCTTAAACCTAGACTGACATACCGACATACCGTCTTCTCTCCGAATCGTTTTTCTTATACAATGATATTGTATAGTTGAATTCAAATTTAATAGCATCCATTATACAGTGACCCACTTGTAACCTACTGTACAGCAGAGCGACATCCACTTACCCACCTTTTTTTTTAGAAGTTAATAAATTAAATTATTTTCAATTTTATGCAGCAATTTATTGTCCTGTTAAGTTTATTTTTTTTTTAAAACCATTGTTTGTAAAATAAATTTTAGCACAGTGTACAATCAGATATACATGTTTTTTTTTTATTAATTGTATATATTCTTCTCTTTTATCAAAAATAATTTTCTTTATTACTTTTGCTATAAGTAATATGAACAGTTGTGAAGATATTAGAAAAATCAAATCCGAAAATGAAATAAAGAAAATTATTTTTGATAAAAGAGAAGAATATATACAATTAATGAAGACTCAGTCAGTCGAATGTAATGATTTGTGCAATGAAATTAATAAATTGGAATCTAAACTAAGGGAAAAATTTGGGTTCAGTAAAGATGAAGATCTAACAATGTTTCCCGAAATCAAATTTGAAGAACCTAAAATAGAGAATCCACTTGAAGAGACCGAAAAGACAAAAATACATAACGATTTAGTACCAAAGCATGTATAATAATATTACTTATATTATACAAATATTACAGGTAAATATTTTCTTTTTCTGATGTACTAGTATTGCTATCATCAGAATCATCATCTTCTAATATTGCTGGTGTAATAAATCACTAATACTAATATCCCTTTCAAAATCAACAACCTATATTCATTTAAAAATGGTTAACAAAAGCTCAATTTGCTTAAACAATTTTAGATGTACCTATTGTAAAATGTACCCCATTTAGATTTTTTGGAATATATGCATTTTTTAATACTTCTTGTTCAACCATTTCTTCATTTGTTAATGGATCTGAATTGACCATATTTACTTGAAGACGATCAAGACAAGTTTCCATATTATCTAATGTGATGGTGGGATCAGTGAGAAAGTCAAATAAACATTTAATGGTTAATGTACCAACATCATGATGACGGAAAAACTCTGAAAAAAAATTATATGTACTTCAGTTATCAACAAAGTATCTATTAATAGAAAATTATTTACCTGTAATATTTGTACAATCTTTTCTAAGGAATTCTAATGCATATGGATGTTCATGTTCAACAGCTTGAGATACATCTATCATCACTATTTCACCATCATTATACCTATAATTGTATTTATTGTGTTTGTTTATTTATAATATTATGTTAAAAATATATTTACAATAAATTAAACTCGCTAAGATCAGCATGTACAAGTTTAAAAATGTTGTATAGTTTCCACATAATTATTAAACAATCTCTATAAAGTTGGCACGCTTTAGACGTAATTAAACGAGCATCCTGTTAAAATAAAAATATAATAAACAGATAGGTATCCAAAGAAAATTAATTAAATATATCCAGCTCCAGCACAAATACTTTTAATTTTAGAGCAGGCCAACCATCTTTACTGATAAACGACATCATTAAAACATGCGATCTTAACAAAATTGGTTGAGGTAGGTACCGGTAAACCAGCTGCATACATTCGAGCAAGATTACGCATTTCTTTTTCAGCCTGTCTAAATCTACAAAAGCAAAAATACAATAAATTTGTATTACAAAAACAAATCGTAAGTTGATGATTTAAAATATTTTAAAATTATCAAGTATTGAGTTTATGTTTAAATAACAAACTGAATAAAACAAAAATTACTAAACACATTTGGAATTGTGTTATAATAAATGTCGATATCTAATTTTGAAGCACAAGTTCAAAATGTACATGAAGTCCTTATTAGTTATTAATATAGTGTTTTCTTCAACATAAAGGGTGAGAAAAAAAAACAGGAAAATATTAAATATCAAAATTGTATAAATCCATATTAAATCCATATTAAATAAGTTCATTGCTAAAAAAATAATATTTTAAGTACATCTATGTACAATATATATTATATATAAATATAAATTAATCATTGAATCAAGTTTTAAATCAACAATTTTAAACCTGCAAAATAATAAGCTAATTGGGAACTTTTGAGTAGGTACCTGAATTCACCTGTGACATAACGATCACGATCTTTGAACACCAATATTGATGTTTTAAATACCTACTTTAATAGCATAATGTTTTTCACTATCAGTTGAAGTTGAATGATGGACGTTGGCTTCATACATTTGCCACCCCTGGCCGCAGGGTACACTTGCCCCTCCTAAATATGTGCCTGGTTACAAATAGAAACTATAATCATATTTATAGTATAATTGTATTTAATACAATACAATTACTACATTACAATTTTTAAATAAATTAAAGAATTAAAAAAAATAATACTAGTGATGGCTGAGCGAAAACTTCCCCTCTCAATAATTAATACGTCATTGAACTTACTTAACTGTTTAAGAATATAAGATAGTGACATAGTGTATAATAATGTATCTGTATATGTTTATACGTGCTGTACTGAACACTTGAATAAACTAATAAATTCTAACTTGCACAGTCCAAAAAATATATCTGCTATTCTCATATACCTACAGGCCTAGTTTAAGTTTGTATTATTACGTATTATTATGGGAACGTGGTAAAATACCAGACAGTAGGTACCTATACGGTTATACGTGAACTGTGAAGGTATATCAATTTAATACGTAGGTACTTTATGATTTCCAAGTATAAGTAAATTTAATTGAAGTATTGAATACTTAAATATTTCCAATGTACTGTGTATTAGCATTTTTATTTACGGTTATAAGCACAATAAGATGTGTTCCATTGGTAAACTTAACACATTCGGATAATTTGAAGAATTCGCCAACAATTTTGGAAACGTTAAATACCATTGACATATTGAACACTATGAATTTTATGTGTAGAAAAAACGAAACAAAAAAAGGTACAGACGAGCTTAAATATTACTGTCGAGATTTAATTAAAGAAAACGGTACCTATTTACCGTTGGAATATATTATAGAGACCAAAATTACCAAGATTCGATCCAGTTTGGTTAAATTTTTTAATTTAGAAAATAAAGCAATTGTATGTAGAGGTATGAGGCATTTATTGCCGATAATTATGCATGGAATATCTATTAATAACACAGTAAATGGATCGACGGGGAATGGAAACAGTGGAATAAACACGTTTGAAGAATTATTTAAAAAGAAGCCGGATTTTTTGAACGACGAAAATTCAAGTATTGAAAAAAAATTTCAACAAATAAAAGCATTAACGATGAAAAATGGCAAAACAAACAAAAAACTAGACGAAAGCCCAGAACAAAGTAATGGAAAATTCTCAGTAACAAGTAACAGTATTGTGGAAAATATTATAACAACAGTTCGGTTAATTTTACCTTTTATCGAAAATCTTGACTGTTTCCATAATTTGTACAAAATAGACAAAATACCGACTGCTAATAAGTCTGATCGCAACTCATTGTTATTATTGATTTTTGACGAAGTCAAGATCATGTACAGGACAGAGTGTTACGCTGACGTCGATGTCGCAGCGCTACTGCAGAACAGGGACGCAGGATGGAAATTCGAGCGCAAGTACGACTCGATCCCTCTTCTCGTCAGAGAAATCGACAGGCTGTCCGCGGCAATACAGAAAGATTTGGTATCGTTGTTTGTGAAATTTCTTCCCGCATATGACCCTAAGCGGCCGTTGCAGCTGTGTCCGGATGTGTCGATCGTGTTCTATCACACGTTCAACAAGTACCACGATCCTGAAGTCTGGAGACTGATCGGCAACGAGGCAATCGTGGACCATTCGTCCGATTCCGGCAAAGCGGCAGCGACGTCGATAGACCAAGTCGCATCGAATCTAACGAGAAATATCCAATTTACCACGGACAGACTTACCGCGTTAATAACGGAAAAAGTTAAGTGCCGTTGTTACACGTACTTAAATCTTTTTATGAAATTATACTACTGTAGTGTGCGAGTGTTGGTGGAAAACGTGCGGGAAGTCCGACAGTCGGCCCAGGCGTTGGAGCCGATCGATCAGCACAAAGTTTACAGCTTGTTACATGACAAAATTAAGGGACTCTGGACAGCCGAGTGTTCTATTGGTGACGACGTCGGTGCGATCGATGAGTTATTGGATCGAGAAGGTAGTGATAAATATTTCCAAAGCGCCTACGCCGCCTACTGGAACCGGAATGCTCGATCCGTAGGCAAAGCGATCGAAACCGTATCGAATTATTCGTCAGACCTGGGCTTTGTGGAGGGATTTGGTCCGTTGTTACAGGAGATTCGACGGATTCGGGTCCGGCCTGAGATTGAGAAGAAATCCATTGAGTATCTGGTCAATAGGTACAAGTGGGGTGAGCGAGCGTACAAGGATCAATGTTTTCCTGGCGAGTATGACGACAATGTGTTCACGTTCAGCAGCAACATGAAACGGGCGTTGCAAGTCACGACCGCGGATAACATCACGATGAGATTAACTCTGGGATGGATAATGGCGATGACTGACACTCTCAACGACGACTTGGAAGCCGATTTAGATATTATCAATAATAAGTTTCCATAATGCGTAAGCGTAATAATATTAGCTTTAAGTGGTCACCCAACTAAATATGGCCGCGTACGGGTTGATTCCCTGGTCATTATATAATATTTTCAATATTCAGCCTATTAGCCTAACCTAAGAAACACTGTGAGGAGGTTGATGACAAATTTCTCAAAAATGTTGTTATTTTTAGTTTTTTCATATTTTGAAAATCATTCAATTTTTTGTTAAAAAATTATTATTAAAATTTTTTAGTAATTTCGTAAAAATGTATAACACATTGTTTTTAAAAATTGGTATCTGGTAATGAGATTACCAGTATACTGTGACATATTATAATGACCCGGGAATCAACTCGCCTACTGCGCTAAATAGGTACCTACTGAGTACTGACAGACGACAGTCAGTGGCGGCGCGAACTTTTTCGATAGTGAGGCAAGAAAATGTTAGTTGCAGCACACACGACCCACCTATTTAATTTGCAGAGAGACGTGGGGGGCTATGCCCCCCCACACCCCCTATTATAATTCTATATTAAATTAACCTTTCTAAAAATTCATGTAACAGGTACTACAATAAAAATAACTTTTATTAATTATATAAATACTGCTTTATTAATAAAGATAAATGTTTATGTTTATACTCTATATGACTATTGTCTATTTATATATTTATTTGTTTGATACGTTATGACGTTGTGTCACTCAATATTTTTCAGAACTGACTATCCACTATAGGTACCTACCCAGTACCCACCCACCCACCCCTTTTAGCTGTGAAAAAATTGTCTCACAAAAACCATCTCGAGCCGCCACTGCTTACAGTTATTGAAATGGAAGAAAGATTAATAATAATTTAATATACGTAGGTAGTGTACAAATATAATTTTTTCACTCTAGGACAGAGGATCATCTGCATAATCCATCTACCTAATATTGTTAATTACCAAAAAGCTGCTATCTTATTTTCTTATTTTGCCACTAATTTCATATTATATACATAATTTGAATTTTGAGTATTTGACACATAACACGTACAATATTTACAATAAACTATTAGGTACTATCTATCAAATAATTATTAAAAATGTATCCTGCCTCAGCGGTTTTGCCACTGAAGTGCGTAACTACATACTGCAATTTAAAATATTGTATTTAATTGGATTTTTTTTTTTATAATTCTTATTAGTTATTGCCATTTGCTATAACTGCCTATAAGTACAAATGACAAGATGTAGAATAAATTGATATTTAAATATTATTTCCCCCCTTTATCCTGCACAATTCACAATTTTTACATTATAAATATATTCTATTCAGCACAAGATGGCCGATGGGTAAATGGCGGTGACGAGTTTTCATCCGCTTCCCCAACCAAATCAACGTGCAAAACCAGTGCTTTGAAATAAAGCCACATCCCTGCGTACAAGTTACAAGCTGCCGACTTTTGTTTGTATGTTGAATAGAGTATAGGAGTATGGGAGACTACAGTAAATGTTTTAATGCTAAGTATTTTATTTATTTATCAGGCAAATAAAGAATACATTAATATATAACTTAATTTTAATATCATGCATGTAAAAATAAAGCAAAACTTATTCATTATATCTCTGTATGCATAGTCAATTTATGTGACAAACAAATTGACTATGCATATGGACAATAGTTTAAATTATAAAACAAGTATTCAGTTTCAAAGAAATCAATATTAATACTAACTACATTAATAAATACAAAACACACAAAAAAGTATTTCCTATTAAACTATTAAACTTGATAAGCATAAAACTATATAATAGTAATAAATTATTTTTAAAGGGAGGAATAGTTTAAATCTTTGAATGGTGGTGTTTCAGTTCCATTTGTTGAGGATCGTAATTTATGTTTAAAATTATTTAAATAATGATTATTTTCTTGATCATAGAGTTCAGTGTTTACACGAAATACATCCTCATACACTGTATTTTTTTTTATACATTTACCTAGCACTTTTTCATTACTACTTCTTAACCTCAATTTTAATGTTGTTTCATTGTTTAATTTTCCTACTTGAATAATATCATTGTTAAACGTATTTTTAGAGTATGAAATATTTTGGTTTTGGTCATGTATATCTAGATTAGACATTTTATTTCTTTGAGAAACTGTTGAATCATATCTGTGTTTGGTTTGGTTTTCTATAACATTTTGTGGGTATTGTTTGTACTGAATAACACTAGAATTGGGAATCAATTTTTTTTCAGCATCCATTACACCCATAGAACGGAGAGTTCTTGAACAAATACTCCTTAAAGGCCTATTAGGCTTTATGTATACATAAAGGGATTTCTTTTTCTTTACTTTAGGAAGATTTATTATAATATTAGATATTTCTTTATGTAAATATCTAACATTTACATTTTTACTGTATTCAGTAGTATCAGCTAATGAATTCCAGTTGTCAATATTATTACATATTGTATTCCATTTTCCTGAGCCAAAAACTGCTGACGGATAAGGTTCACAAGGAATTTTTCCGTGGAAATTCTGTAAAACAAAAACTAAATTAAATTATTTAGTCAATCTAAAAATATAGTAGTGCATACAAATTTGTTCAGTGATTGATTTTTTAAACGATTTAAAAATCAGATATAAATAAACAAAATATATTATAAAGCCCATTGTACTTACATGATTTACTGGTAAGTTGGTAGATATATCAAATGAGTTCTCAAAGTCTTCTCTATATAATTTACTGCTACCAAAATACCAATACACTGATTTATTTTCGTCAGAACCTAATGGTTTCACGTTTAACATGTGCCATATTTTAGGATTACTGGAGATTTTATTTTGAATATGCTTAACATCAAGAATAATATTACAAAAGATGTAAAGAGCTTCAACTTTTTGTTTACGTGTTAAATCATCGAAATATGTTGCTTCATCTAGTGAATATTTTAAGTTGTAAATCTGAAAAATATATAAGGTACCTAATTTTTATTACAGACCTAAAATAAGGAGAACTTAAAACACTATACTATTTATCTTTGGGCGTTACAATTTTGTTTGTATTTAAAACAATACACATAATTAAAATAGAGTAATTTACTAATTAGATACCAAAAGTGGATGAAATTTGTAATTTACAGGTGGTTGTCTAATTATGACAAATGTATCACTAATGTTTACCCTCATAATAAGTGTATTAAGAGAAAAATGCATGTGTTTAACATAATTATTTGTTTTTTAAATAATAATAAAAAAAAAACAAAACATGTTAGGAAATAGAACTAAACTAAATTCTTAATACCTTCATTAATGTATTCTGTCTTAGTTCCGGGCCTTAATGTGTTTTCTTATATTATAAGTTATAACATATTAATATTAACTTAAACTTACACTGCATTTACACTGAAATTTTCTTTTCATAAAATTCCACCATTCATTTGTGTTTGGATCATAAAAACCACAAATTTTGGTAAATCGAATAGCCATATCAGTCAACAAATTTGAATTTTCCTCAATTGCATTTTCAAGTTCCTGAAATTTTTTTTTTTGTTAAATATAGTAAAATACATTTTTTTTTGTTATACAGTATGCACTCATATTAAATATTAATTATTGACTCATTGTGCTAAGTTAAACAGACTACAGAGTTAACTTTTATAAGATAATATTTTGATGAGCATTTTTAAACAATAGTAATATTTATACATCTATCATGCATATTTGATCATTAATATACACAAAATGTCTGTGAATTTGTAATAAATAAATATATATTATTTTTTACCAACCACCACTAAAGCCAAGACAACAATAGTAAAAATGTATATGTATAACTGTATAAGAAATGTGGATTCACTATACATCTATAAAATAAAGACATTTGTAAGTTTGTAACTAAATATAAGAGCAAATGAGTAATAAATTGTTTTTTAAATACATTGGTATATAAATATTTCAATTACTCACTATATTGATGAATTTATTTTTAAAATGAAGTAAAAATACAAAAAATATTTTTAAGAATCACTAATTAGTGTCTAGCTAACAATTAATTAAGGGGCGCGAAGAAAATTTTTTTGCAATTCTGTAAAATTTGAAAATTAAATTTTATATTTTATCTGCCTCCTTAATTATAATACTTTTCCACTATAGTTTACTGCCCAATATCTATTTAGAGGGGGAAGTTGATAGGGTGAATTATATCGAAAAAAATGACTTAACACGAATAATTCTCAGGCCTTGCAGAATTGTCGGATTTTGATAGGTAACTATTTTTTTTATCTGAAAGAAAAAGACTTCCTACAGGCCGTATCGAACTCTGATGTTTTATTTTATTTCAAATAATGGTATAATAAAATTTATAAAAAAAGGCTTAAAATTGTATTATTTTTGAAGACATATTGTGAAGTTTGGGATTAAAATATTGAAATACAGAGTTCAATGCAGACTGTAGAATTTACCCTCTATTAGTTAAAAAATAATAATATCAAATTTGGTTAATTTTAGAGAACAGGATCATTATTACAGTAGAGCGTATTTTTGTGTACACAATTACAATGGCACCAGGCGACTTAATATTTACCTATTATATAATTTAATACCTACCTACATTCATAATATTGTCAAATATTTTCAAGTTTTACCGTTATAATTCTTTTTCCCCCATTATTTGGGTAGGTATAATGTTTTTAACATTTTGTACTTACATTTATGTCTATTCGACTGATATCTTTAATGATAAGGGTGAAAACATTACAAAAATGTGCAATGCTCGGTATCTCCCACCACGTTTGAATTTCTGAAATATAACAAATTATTAATATAGGTATTAGGTACCTACTATATATTTTATTAACATATAAATTTATATAAAAAAACAACAAAATCATATTAAATATAAAGGAATAATTATGGATACTTATTTAAATTAAGTTTGAAGATCGCTACAAACAAAAATTATTTTTTAAAGATCAGAACAAAAATGGAACATAAGTCATCAATAACTATTATTATTTTAAGAAAAAATGTTTAAAAATACAATTAACGAGGATATATAATTTTTTTGTAAATATAATTATTTTATTTTGTTAGAATGTGACCCAATTACATTTTAGTCCAATTTTAAAGATATTATATTATTATAAAATAAAGGTAGGTAACAATACATTCATTATGTATGTTCACTCCCATTTTTCCTTAAGTAAAGAATTTATTAAAATTTTTGGAATTTTTAAGTATCATGTTTTCAAATCTTAAATTTTTTTTAAAATAAGATTCATACTTTTTCATGAAAAATTTTGATTGTGCTGAACACTTAATTTGATTCCTATCAATAATAGGTTTATTCAGATTTCATTAAATGACAGTCACACTTTTTACAGATTTAATAGAAGTGCTGCATCACGTTCATATTAAGATAAACAAACGTAAACCCCCTGAAATTTGAATTCACATATAATAGAACAAAATTATACTATTATCTGATTTATATCTGAATAGATTCACTTGGTCTTAAAAACTACATAAAAATATATACGTAACTATAGACCTACCTATTATAGTCAGTGGTTGAATTGGGGGGGGGGACGCGGGGGGACGGAGTCCCACTTCTATTTTAAAAATATTTTAGCGTACCCCTTCTAATTTCTTTTAATGGGACGCTGGGGACGGGAATCATTTTAAAAATTGTACTAAATTAATGGAAATATTTTTATTTTAGATTCTGAATGAAACGATGAATGTATTAATTTTACAATGATGTGTGTTTTTTTTTTTTTATTTATTTATTTTTTTTTTGTGTCTGTGTACACGATAAGTAGTCGAAATAATGCTTCGATTTTCAACTTCAGTATCTTGTTCGATTGGAAAGTGAATATCGTTGGTGCATTGGGGAGGTTAAAATTTAAATTTCCCAGTAGTTTTCAAAAGCGCTGGGAAAAACAAAAGAAAAATTAAGGAAAAACGGGAATTTTTACACAAAATCTGTTTTCGAGAAAATCGATTTTGGTTTTTGGTGTAACTTTAAAACAAATGACCGTAGATACATGAAATTTTCAGTGGTTGTTTATATTTGCATTTTCTATACACGATAACATTTTCAAAATATTTTGATTTATTTTGAACTGTTTAGGGACATTTTCATTTTCCATTTTTATTAGTTTTTTTTTTTATGAATATCAATAAAAATTTATTTGTTGAGTAAAAATACTTGAAAATTTAATACAAGGCTCCTACTATATTGTTACAATGGCATTTGAAAAATATTAAAAATCGTTAGTCACAGTTTTTTTTTTTAAGCATTTAAAGTTCAAAAAATGACAAAATATGGAAAAATCACAACAATTTGCAAATTATTTTGAGTTAGAAATTCATAAAAATTTTTCTTTTTAAATCTAAGATATGAAAATGTAATACAAGATTCCTTATAAGATTTCCTACATTTATCAAAAAAAAAAATTCTATAAGAAAGTCAAATTAAATTTTTATGAGCGTTTGAAATTCAAATTTTTACAACATTGGATATTCACTCGATTTCTCATGTGGCGATTTCCTTATTTTGTTGTAATTCAAAAACGAATTACTGTAGATACATGAAAATTTCACTGAATGTTTATATTAGAATTTCCTATACACCATACAATTTTGAAAATATTTTGACTCTTTTTGAGCCGTTTACGGACCTTTTTAGTTTTCAATTTTTTTAGTTTTTTTTTTTCTATAAATATCAATAAAGTTTTATCTGTTGGGCCAAAAAGTGTAAAAAATTAATACAATACTCCTGATATATTGTTACAATAGCAATTGAAAAATATTAAAAATACATAGGCACAATTTTTTTCTATAAGCATTTAAAGATCGCATTTTGACTAAATTTATCAAAATCTCGAAAATTATCAATCATCGTAATTAATAAATTATAAAATGTTCAGTTTTTATAGCTAAGGATTGAAAATTTAAAACAAGATTCCACGTAAGTAGTTAATTCTGTTACCAAAAAATCTAAAAAATACACAAGCACAGTTTATTTTTATGGTCATTTTAAGTTCAAATTTGGGACGAAATTACATATTAAAAAACCTAGCATACCTATTTTAGTTATTTTGTTGTGAGTGTATAATACTATTCGTGGGTACTTGAAACTTCTTAAGTACACTATATTATATATCTATGATCAGGGGCGTACTCAAGGGGGGGTTCGTGGGGTTTGAACCCCTCCCATGACCTTACTAACCGATGCACTTTTGTGCGTTCTTGTTTATACATAATATAATTCACAGGAGCAATTTTCTAAAAAAAATTTTTAAGAAGGGAAAAAATAAACAAATATATTTATTTTCAAATTTATATCAACATGCATTATACAACGATTACAAGCATTATCTGTTAAGAACTGTATTATGATAACCAGATAAAATTTAAATCAAACATACAAGGTGTATTGATAAGTTGTCGTCACTCTGGACCCCTATACGTATACACTCTTGATTGAAAATATTACCACAGTTCTATAGTCACCAGAGCGCGCTTCTTGTCCTACGGGCTACGAAGGCCTGTATATTCATTCTGTTAAATGCAAAATGTCTTAAAACTTCAGAATTAAAATGCTAATATTTTTTAAAATTGAAGTCAGTATTTACAAAAACATTGAATCATAAAAAGTTTTTTTTTTTAATTGAGTTGGTATAATAAATTTGGAGCCTGTAATTATACATTACATTTGCATTTTATTCATTGGCAATATTTTTATCGAGTAGACATCAATTAGAAAAAAATATTATGTATAATTTGTCACTTCTTTGGATATTTGCATCCTTTTTAAAATCTTTAAATTAAATTAAAACTATTATGATTCTACTCCTAATTCTAATAGTAGTCTGGTAGAGTGGAGTATTATTTTCAAGTACTCATAAAAAACTAAAAACATGTTTAAAATATTTTGCATATTTTATTTTATGATTAGGTATATTATTTATATTATAATATTATTCAATAATAGTTATCTTATAAACTTCAAACTAATTTTGAAAAATTGTTTAGTTTTTTTGGTGTTTTCTTGTTTTTAGCACCTTGCTCATTGTTTTCTTTTGTAAGTGAATATCATTCTTGTTTTGACATAATGCGTTATAATATATTTGGTTAATATTTGACTGTGTATTGAGCAACCAACCTTTGTCAAAAAATTTGTTTATATATTTCTTCAATAAATATAAATTATGTTAGAAAAATAAACAGTGAAAAATGTATATGTAGTTTTCAAATTGAAATGCAACATTAAAAACATGATCTTTTACCGGGACAGCTAGTTATATTTATTATATTTAGATATTTTACACTATAATCTAGTACAGTATTTTTCAACTTTTTTTTTCGTGAGGCTCCCTAAATTTAATGTAAAACTGTCAAGGCCCCCTTAATCAAAATTATTAATTGTTTTTTCTAAATTAGGTATATACTAAAATTACTTGTACTATTTCATACAGATTAATTATTAAAATGTATAGTAATTTAATATTCTTTTGAAAAATATTAATGATAGTATTAAAATTTAAGTATTTATTCTTTTTCCATAAACGCTTAAAGTCAAAAAATAAAAATAAAAATAAAATAATAACATTTTTTACTAGTGTGCCTGGAAGTTCTAAGTACATTGAACCCTACAATAATCTTAAAAGAAAACATGAACAATTAATCAATCGGAATCGGAATATTGTTCTTTAAATAAACATTTTTCATTTTTGAAATTTATTTTCTGTAGAGTAGGTACATTACCATGTTTATATTTAATATTTGTAAAAAGGAGGTGAAAAAGTCCACGTGATAAAAAACAAAATGTTCAACCCCCCCCCATTGAAAATTCCTGAGTACGCCCCTGTCTATGATAGTATCAGGGTTAGGTTAGGTTTATTGGTGTATGGTGTAAAATGTCATTGTAGCGGGAGGGGGACATATGCTACCACTTAACAGTAAGACATTTAAATGTTCGGGGACGCACATATCTTTTATACTTTTGCATCCCCCTTCTATTTTTTTTCCAATTCAAGCACTGATTATAGTATTAAAATATATGCATAATACATAAACCGCAAAAATTAACAAAAATGGAGGGAAACTATTAGTTGTTGTTTACAAGGTTTATTGTTCTATAAAGATCTTTACAGGCTTATGGTATTGATACGTCATGGTTGAATATAAATTTTATATTTTCCGACGTTCTATAAAATGCTTATTCCTAATTAGTTATTAATAATTATATTAGGGTATAAATAAGTACTCACCGTCCATCATAATTGGTGAAAACTAATTTCGAATTTGGTATATTATACGGACATATAAAATATATAGTTATATTTATGTCTATAGTATATTGTTAGAAGCCGCTGCACAATCAACACACTGTCAGTTGTCTTTATTAAATATTAATAATGTGTATAGGTAAATGTGTCAATAATTAATTTCCGTACTTCTCGAATCGCGCGATGAAACCGTTTAAAATTCATATGAATATAAGTTATAATGAATAATTATATAATTGTATTCACTGTCGAGAGCAAATACATATTATTAATTGGAAAATCAAGTATAGATACGTGCACGAGCTAAAACTATTTAAAAAAATCACTTCCCAGAGCACAACGATTCAGCGTATTCACATTGACGGCAGACAATGAAATGAGAGTCGAACTTCGAACAGTCGGTTGACTCGGTTGCCACTTGCCCGATTACCGAACCAGTCCAATCAGTGAGCAGTCCAAACTGTTAACACTAAACTATAGACCTATCGCGGAGACCGAACTGCGACGTCTTCGGTGGTGGACGAAAGCACTATCATTGAGGATTTACTATATTTTAGGATTAGGTCAATAATGAACAAATCCAAATTTATCCAATCTATTTTGTATTTTTGTCCGTGGTGAAAACTAAAAAGCTAAAAAGTCGTTGAAAGTCGTCAGTGTGACATCGAAAAGAAAACTAAAATTTAGAAACTAAAAATGAATAAAGGATAATATCAGATATGTTTTGGGCATTCTGTACATATCGCACACTCACACAACGACGGCGTTGTTCCCGCCTTTTGTTGCCACGTTGCCATTTCTTTCCGATAAAAGGTGTTTCAGACTTCACTCCAAATTTCCAAACAAAAAATATTATAAGAAGACCAAAAGGGGAGAAGTGTTGAGGCGTTATACATCAACGCTTATACATATACTATGTACAGTTAGTATACTGATTATTGGCCATGATGGCTGAAGCCTTCTCTTTTGGAATTTAGATTCTATTTCAAATTTCAATGATATGTTTCTCGTTTATTACCTAGTTGATTTGTAACAATGATACATGAGTAATGGACAATAGTCAAGTACCTACTGCCTATATGGCTATATACTTTGGTCTCTATAACATTAACGTTAACATAATTTACATACAATGTTTAAGATTTTTTACTTTAAAGTTTAAACTATAACTTATAAGCGTGTTGTAAGTTGAAAGTTGTAAGCTAACTCATACTGGACAGCCGACAGGTGATTTACAGTGGAATTTAGGATGAACTTAGGTGCAATATAAAGAGTACCTAGTCTCATTCGAATTGTAGGTGTTAGTTTTATTATTCAGTTAAACGCTCGTAACTGGTTTGATGCAATTTCCGGAAACAGTCTGTTCGGAACAGAATAATTCTAAGTATCTCGGAAATATTCAATTTCACTAAGATATTTTTAAGTCCAAATTATTACTGTTCGGAAATATAATTTTGTTTAACTAACTGGCGTGAAGGTGCTTGTCCTGGCTTGCAGGTCAGTTGATCACTTCTGAAAACAGGCCGTTTCGGGGTCTCCTACATAGTCCTACCTCTCTCCCTCAGCATATCGATAAGAGTATCTACATTCCCAACTATGTGGTGTCCGTCCACAATCTTCTCGGAAATGTTTATGCAATTATGCTCATGGCCCACGCTCATCCACTAATAAATAATATAATTAATATAGTTCAGTGCCAGTGTGATCTCATCCCATGTAGCTGCATTTTGATTATGAACCGCGTAGTGTTTTTTATTAGTATTATTGATAATTAATACACAGTGGATTCCGCTTAATGTGGCCATCGGTTAATACGGGCATCCGCTTATTGTGGGCAAACATATCTGGTCTCAAAACAAATGTATTTTAACAATGTTAAATAAAACCGCGTAATATGGGCACCTGCACTGAACTTAATTTAGTTCAGTGATTGGCACTCGATTTGGTTTATGTGGGTAATTTTATTTTATAATATATATATATATACATATGTATTTAAAAACGATTAATTTAATCGGGTTTCGTCGTATCTATGAGATTGCGTTTATCGAAAGTAATAAAAATCATTACCATTCAAACCTTAGGAGGACGCTATCCATACTTTTGTTGTCTCCGTCTTTTACACGCACGACAAAGCAAATTGTTGTTCACTAGTATCAATAGTGTGCTGTTAGTTTTGATACTAGAGTGAATTGACCTATTATAAAACTTTTAGGTAAGAACATTATCTGTGCTTAAGCATTGCCGATTTTTCGAAATTTTTATTTTCAAGCACGATATGGGTATGTGAAATATCAAAAATTAAAAATACTCATATCTAGCTTGAAAATTAAAATATCGAAAAAAAGCCAAAGTTTAAGCACAGATAATGTTATTACCTAAAAAATTGATGATAGGTCAAATCGCTCTAATATCAAAACTAACAGCACACTATTGATACTAGTGAACGAAAATTTGCTATGTCGTACGTGTGTAAGACGGAGACAACAAATGCATAGGTAGCATCCTCTTAATGGGATTTTAATGTGTGTAAATGATATTAGATGAAATAAAAATAAAGCGATAGACGGCACGTGTTCTGTAACGGGTCAATATCCGCATTTCAGTTTTAACTTAAATTTCAACTGGAAATATGTCTCGAAAAAATCTCGCCCTCAAGGAAAAAATCGCGATTTTGGACAACGTGAATAATCGCTACCTCCAGGCACTTCACAACGTAAAATCGCTGAAAAATTGTGCGTGCCGGAATCCACTGTATATTATTTATATTTATATTTTTTATAACGTACGTGGATGTACGTGTCTTTCATTGTATACATTTCTTAGAAAATATGCATCTTTCCTAATTACTAATCAATCATACAAGCAGTGCCGCAACTATAGGATTCTCGAGGCTCCGGACATAATCAATTATTATTGGGCCCTGAGCGGTGAGCCCTTATGTAGTTATGTACGTAATGTTTTTTCATAGGCCCATAACTAATGACTCATGAGTTATATTATAGTTAAAGGTAACATTGGTAATTTGTATGACTTTTGAGTTATCATAGAGTAAAATCACTCTATTAAAAAAATTATAGAGGATAATATTTTTAAGGGTTTGACATAATGGTTATTTTTGAGGGTTTTAGATTTTATTGTTATTTGACTTTGAATTCAACTTTCAAAAAAAAAATATAACTGTATATTTAATTGATGTTAAAATTGTTTTAAAACAAAATGTAGACAAATCAATATGTCATACCCTCAAAAAATTATTATCTATTATTTTTGTAATATTGTTGATTTCACTCTTAGATTACTCGAAAATGTGATTTGTGTATATTGCGCATGGACACGAAAGAAAAAACAAATAGTGCACCGACATTCTCTTAAGTTGTAACTTCGAAATTTTATATAATTTGTCTTCCACATGATGAGATGAGCATAATGCAGTGACAAGTGACCTAGATAGGGGCAGCACCAACACCATAAGGTTCCCTTTTCAGGGGCACTGCCACGGTTGCCCCCAGTGGCGTACACAGCTATTTTCAATGGGGGGGGGGCTTACGTATAAAAAATTTTATACATATATAATATATATTATACATTGATAAATCAAAACGATGTACCTATAGTAATTATTTTGTACATAATGAGTAATCAGCTCATTAGCAATGACTTAAGGTGAAATTAAAAATATTTTTACAATACTCGATTATTATTTAAAAAATATATACCTATTATCTACAGGTAATTATTTAGTATAACTACAAAGCTACACGCGTACATACAATATGTATATAATAATATATTATATACAATTCAATAAAAGATAGGTATAAAAAGAAATTTATTTGTATCATATTAATTATTTTTTTGTACCTAGGTCCTAGGTTAATAATATATTAAATATTTACCTGGTTCCTCCGAGTTAATTGTATCACAAATTAGTGAGTTAGAAAAATATTCGTTTATTATTTTCATTTTTATTGTTTTATAAAATATGTCATTTTATATATTAAGATTTAAACAGTAAGTACAATTTACTAAACGTCTAAAGAGTCAGGAATTTGATTGAAAACTGAGAAATAGATTCTATATCTATACTATAGTATTAGCGATACTGAGATAGCTATTAAGGCATATTATATCGGATTACACGATTGTCGACCCTTATGTTTGTGTTTGAACAAATTTTCCAATAATTTCATTAATTTGTAACAAGTTATCAATAATATCTACAATATATTATAACAATAAACTGGGTTGCTTATAAGTTATAATATAATGGAGTATAATTTGGAATATAATATTTTTTTAAATTGTCATCATTTTTATTATACATTTTTACGTTATTACGTAAACTGAAAAATACTAAAGGGGGGGATTGAACACCCCCCCCCCCCGTGTGTGTACGCCACTGGTTGCCCCTGTGATTTTTTCATGCAAGTATGCAACCCGTTTATTTATTTCCTCGCCTATCTATTTATGCCCGTGGACCGTGGTAGATATTTTCATAAACTGTTTATGTTATATGTATAACTCCTCGTTAATGTGTTCCGACTGAGTACAATTGTAGTTTTCATACTTTGATAAATGAAAACTATAGTCTATAAACTTGGTAATGCTATTACAATAGGCAATACGTAATAATGAACATATTACTCGTTGAAATTGTATGTACAGTTTTTTATTTTGTCTTATAATACTGTTCCATATATTATCCACCATGAACTGCTATGCATAAGAGATAAGTCAGTTTTATTCAGCTCTTTGTAACGAAATTAGAACTGTAATTAGGTATAATAAGAGCGAGAATAGGTAGTTTTGAATTAAAGCTACCGCCTACCGATTTTCCAATTCATTAACTACCTAGTATTAACATATCGTCTATTCGTATAAAAGATCTATCGGGGAGACGTTATATTTATATTATATATATTATTATATTAATGTTTCCATACAGTATACATTAACAGTAAAACAGTTATCAGGTATTGGTATGACTGT